GTAAATTCTGAGGTCATATTCTGAATCCTGAGGAAATTTCCTGTGCATTACGCTGCCTGGGAGTCGTCAACACACCAAAATAACAGAGAACCGTTGCCGTGAAACTGAGAGAGGGTATGCAGCGATTGTATTGCATAAAATTACAAAACAGTCTGCCGTTGACTGCGTGTTCTAAAGGGTACAGGCCCTCCTTCTTTGAAACCTATAGGTGGAATGCACACACGAAAGCACGCTGAATTCATATCTGTACTCAGAATTTGAATTGGCCTTACCGTTGTCTCACATTAAGCATGACCAAATAGCAATTTTCGGGATAAAGCGTAAATTTCTATCCTGGTCCCAGAGCGTTTTTCACCTGTTTTTTTACTTTCTCATGGAAAAATGACTGACCATTTCCTTTGGCCCTGGCACTAAACATGTCCTACGCCGAGTGAAATTTTATGAGGATTCCAAATATGACCTCGGATTTCACCTACCACCTCTGGGTTCCGAGATCTAAGCTGCACAAAAAACCTTTGCATGCCGTTTTTGGAAACAGAGTTTCCACCCGCTGCTCACATCCGCTCATCTGCCGCCACCCTGACTCCCGCGTATCTGTAGTCCGCCCTACTCAGAACAGCGCATCTGCACAGGGCGTCGCAGAAAGTCGCTTAAGTGAAAAACCCGTGCTTTTCACGAGACAATGTTGAATATTTGGGCGTTCAAATCAATTAAATGGCTGATCTGTTGGTTTTGGCCTTGATGTCATCGTGTTCCCTGGTGTTTTATTAACTAGTCGAGTCGTTCACAAGGCACTGTTGTCCATGAAATGAAGGCAGGACGTAAAAAGAAAAGTGAGTATGTCACATGCAATAGGAAACAGTTTTTATTACAACATTTCCAAACGATTTAGTCCTGACTTTTGTTTGTAAATCAAACTTCCCATCATTGTCTTTAATTCCAGGATGTTATTTAGATGTGGGGAGGTACTTGTGACTCTGGTCGTAGTTCATAACCTGCTCCAGTTTGGAGAGTTTTTTTCCAATTTTACTTGCAAACGGATTGACATTATCTAAGGTATGTTTTTAAGTTTGGAATTTTGACTGATTTTTTAAAATTATTTTGTGGCTATCCTGTCGGTATATCTTTACTTTGCCATGTCCATACTTCTGTTCTTGTTTACGTTGTGTAGTTCTTTGTGGAACATTTGCAACATCTATTCTTTTCTCTTTTATCAAGTAACTGACTTTTATGTGGGCTTTTATTTTTAGCTTTCATTTGAATAGGTCTTGTTTAGTACACTCCACTTGTTCAAATCTACACTTAAATGATTGTTGTGGTAAATTCCGTTCCATACCGTAGATGTAGATTTACTTTATTTTCCAGGTATCGATGTTCTGTTCCTGTGCAACAAGGTGACCATTGGGTCTTAAAGTGGACTTCTGTGTTTTGCAAGGTATTGTATTACTGGTTTCCTACTGCTAATTATCCTGTCTGCAAGGTCTGCATTAATTATTGTGTTTCTTTATTACAGAAGCAATTCCCTCTTCCCCTTTGAGTGCATCACAAGCATTACATTTGTTTTAAAATTTTCATTCAAGTCAGTGAGTGTATTGTTCAGTGTGCATCGATAGTTGTTATTTTGATGTATCATGGTTTTGTGTCTAAATGGTTTCATATAATTTGTTAAGGATTTGGTATGTTTTAAATAAAGATTTTATTTGGTCACCATCAATCTTCTTTGTTCGTTTAAATAAAAATAATAAAATCAGCCTTTGAGCTTATCAGTCATGAGAATTACAATTAGTTAAACTTACGGTGTGGAAACAACTTTCTTGAAACATTAGAAGAAATTTTGTTTCAAACAACAAACAAGAACACAAACTAAAAGTAGAAGCTTGGATCGTAAGTAACTTAATTAAAATGTTTTTTTCTTAAAACATTAACATACAAAATCACAGGTCAAATGATAAAAAAAAAGACTAGCCAGCTGACAAACATGATGTCAACCCTAAATGCTTTAACTAATTAAACAATACAGAAAGAATCTTATTTTAACTAGAGAAAGAGTAAAATTCTTTGGAAACAAGAAAATCAGGAACATTATGGTACATCATCCATCAAGATATAACCCGATGGCTACTGCTCTTCATCTTCATCATCTTCATTATCATCTTCATCTTCATTACCATCTTCATCTTCCGGGTCATCTTCTTCTTCCGCTTTATCTCCATCATCATCGTCATCATCTCTATTCTCATCTTGATTGTAATTTGGCTGAATGGAGGCAATTATCTCTTCATCGGTTTCATATTCTACTTCATCCAAGTCGTCACCATGATCATCCACAGTTCCAGCTAATACATCACGGAAGAACTGCTGCTTGTCGAGGGGAATTGCCAGTTCCTTACAGAGCGCTTCAATATCAGCTCTTTTGCTGGCGGTGAGAGGGACTGGCCCATTATATTGTTTTGGAGGCTTGTAAGTTTTTAGATTGACTGGCCTTCCAACTTGATTAGGGCTTAGTGTGAAGATTTCTCCATCCAAATCATAGCGGAGTCTGACCAGGTTGCCTTCCCTTCCGTTAATACTGACTTCTCTCACTTTACTCCACTTGATTTCTTTACCTTTCATATCTTTTTTCCAGTTCTGCAAGGAAACTAAATGCTTGTAGTCAAAAATCATAGATTGCTTCAGTTTGATTACATTGTATGGAGGCAAAGTCTCTTTGGCTTCAGAGATAGCTACAATCCAGTCTTCAAAATCCATTATTTCCTTCAAATTTGTTGAGTTTTCTATTCTTGCATGAATAGTGTCCGCATCCATATGCGTGTGTCCTGGTTCTAGAAATCGGTGTGTTATCTCAATGCCATGCAACACAGCTTTATGTTGCAACATAGCAAAGACGAATCTATTTTTGTTCTGCCCAGAACAATTGTCGGAGTATAAAATCAGCTTTTTATGCCCCTTTTCAACAAGTTTGTCAATAAAATGACCGACTGCGCTTGATATCTCACTGCTGCCTTTCTTGGCCAACCCTTCGTGCCAAACATAACAGTGGCCATTTCGTTCAACTTCCTGAAAAAGAGTAAAATTAAAAACAGAGAGTTTATTTCTGTAGAAAAAGGCCCCAACCTCAGATCTAGGGCAAGGTAGCTGCTTCTGTAGATCAAATGAAATAACTGCAATTTCTTTGTCCTTTTCTGCAGCAGCTCGGTCTCTAAGTTTAATTTTTTTGACCAATTGTTTGCGTTTAATATGAGCAGCATATAGATCTTTGTACTTGTCTTTGATATGTCTGGGATTGTGTTTGCTTCTTATCAAGGCACAGAGGGCACATTGGTCTTTCTTCGGCTTGAAGAAGCCAATGTTGAAACTAGTATTTACTACATCTTTATACTGCCTTGCAGTGGCAACTTTGTTTTTAGGGAGGCCTTTCTCTTCTGCCCATTTAGTGTATAGTTTGGCCATTTTGCTAAGGCTGAGACCATGTTCTAGATACTCCCTTTTAGACTTTTCCCTACAATAATGAGAAGGGACTCGAGGAAACAAATTACAGTGCTCCTTCACTGTTTCAATTTTCTCAGGAGTAACTGCTTTAGGGTGGTTTGGATGGCGACCCCTCTTGTCAGGCGTTGTGATATTGCCCTTCTTAGCATTCAAATGTTTATAAGCACTGTCGATCCATGAGTCCCAAATTCCAAGTGTTGCCATAAACATTTTTTTGCAAATAATTATTTTCTCAGTCACTATTTCTTGTATTGTCTCTGTGACTATATCATCCCCTATTTCAACATCCTTCTCAACTTCTTTCAGAACATCTACCAAGAAGAAAAATGTTCTGTTGGTTTTTTTCTTGCCGGTAAAATTTCTTCTCTTACTAGGGTGTTTCACTTTTGCAAAAAGTTTCGAAATCTCATGACCGCCGGGTGAAAATTGATTCTTTATCCAAAAAAAAAGTTTACGTGTTTCGGGGTTTTCCAAATTTCGCAAAATTAGAGGTCGCTCAACGCCTTTGAAAAATTTAGGCTGTTTTTACTTAAGTCCAAAATGCTGAAATCGCCAATTATTGAGCGATTTGGACCATTCTGGGCTCATTTGAAAGGTTTTGAGCTGTACTTTCAGAATCTGCGGCCAGAAATTCGATTGGAGTCGTTTGTTAGGCTACAGAGCCACGTTTGTGTTTTTCAAGGCCCTAATTGCAACTTTGCGCGACTGTATCTTCGGCAGTTATAAACCGATTTTCCCCCGCGATATCTCAAATTGACCGTCAGAGTCTCCCCTTTCCAACGGTGTGCTTGGATTGTCATTTAAAGCATTTTCCTAGTTTCTATGAGGCTCGAAGTAAAGATATGCGACAAATTTTCATGTTTAGCGTACACTTCTTGGCCGAAAAGTGTACTGACGAGAGCCGATCTTCGCTGTCACCCCTATTTTCAGTTGCGCATGATGCTTTTACCACCTCAAAGCCGGCTGGTGCTGCTACAATGGCTCCAGGGACATATAAATAGCGTT